GTAGATAAAATCGTACACATTTAATTTTCAACAAAAGGTTGGTCTACTTTCTATATAGAGTCCATACTATATTCTACTAGAATTTAAACTTTAGATATTTATAAGCAATAAAAATTATACCTGTTAAAAATCCGATTTTTTTTACACCAGCGTTCATCAAAATATTCTGCTTAGGAATATGAAATCAAAAACGTATATGCAAGTTGTAGTCGGGAAAAAATGAGAACGTAACGACTAAAAATTATGTAAAAAATAAATCATTATTTAAAACGTTGATGTTTTTCTTGGATAACAAATTTTTACTATTAAACTAATCGTCCAGTACCTACCTACATGACTATATAATAAAGCATAGAGATATGTCTATGAACCAATGTACCAACCAACATGATATATATATAGGCGGCGAGGACTTTTTTCCGCGTGCACGGCGCCGCCAATTAAACCACCAAGGAGGAGACGGCTGCCGACAAAAAAGCCGATATATCGCGGGGGCTCTCTCATAAAATACACACGATATTTCCGATGTAATTTATCGTCTCGGTATACATTGTTACGTACGTAAACATTATCGTTACGTTGTAATAATACGATAATAATATTACCGGCCGTACAACGCGTCATAATATAATATTATGCTGTGCGGGGGGGCGGCGGCGGCGGTCGAGAAAGCCAATTAGCCGCGCGCCGTACGACAAAACAAACGGACAGACGGACGGTCGGACGGGCAATAAATTAAAAATTAATCTCGCATTTACATATAATATATATATATGTATATACATAATAGTTTACGAGATATATGCGCACGACCGCGACGTATCGAAAACGAAATATTTTTGTTTTATTTATTGGAAGGAAAAGACGAGAAGAGTGGTACGCAATAAATAAAAATTCGAAACCACCAGACGACGACGATAATATTATTAAAACGACGACGGCGACGCACGGATTGCGATGACTTTTTGTGACGCACTCGGGCGGCAGCGTCCGTTTTCCACTTTGTACGCCCGACGAACGACAATTATTATTAAAGGCGAGCGCGCGTCGCAGCCGCTGGCACTCTGTTCGGCGGATAACGATACGTAGGTATCATGCGACTCTGCTTCGACTGGCGACTGCCGTCGTGATGTGAGACGCGACGCTTACAACAACAACAACAACAACAACAACTACAATAACAATCATAATAATTATTATATCGTCGGCCGCCGTGTGGGAAAAACGCGTTCGGACGTTTGTGAGAGATTTATTTTCCATTTCGTTATTAATATGGGTAAGTGTAATGCAGATGATGGGTGGGCTGCGCGCCGATGATATTGTTGTTCGTGATCCGGTCGAAACACGCGGCTAGCCGTTCGATCGCATTCTTCGCCGGTTACTTTACCGTTTGTCGCGCGATCTAGCCTCTCTCCGTCATACACAGACAACACCGCCGGGTCCGTCGCACAACCGCATGTAGTGATTGAGGGGGGCCCAAATAGTAAATATTTTTGGGGTAATAATCGGCTCATTCTGCTTGGGAAAGTTGTATCCCCCCCCCCCTTGAAAATGCAATCGAATCTCCACTTATGCGTACAACCATCGTCTTTATAATATGGGTACTAATACAATATACTATAACTGAATTACCCAGCATTGCCCTGAAAAAAATTCATAATTGTTTAGTTCCTTTTGGGTGTAACTTGCTGTGGAACAATGTCTTTTTAAGTGTAAAATATATCATATTTTAATTTATAGCCATCCCACCAGGCGTTGCCCGAGAGACTCGTTTTTGATTATATGAGAGCAGTATAATATCATCAGTAGGGCTGAGATTTTAATGTCCTTAAAAAATGCGAGAAAAGACATTCAAAAATTGCAAAAATGACTTTAAAAAAACTCAAAAAATAAATTAAAAAATGTCTTGAAAATTTATTGAAAACGGCTTAAAATTTAAAAAAATTACATTACATGTACATAAATGTTTTATTTTACTTCATAAATAGAGCATAATTCTTAAAATTTTAATTTTTCGCGTGCCGTTGAAATTTGACCAACTACGTGCCATTTTTGACACACGTGCAGTAGGTCTATCACACCTCACCTATAACCATAATCAAAAATTGAGCTATGAAATCCATAAATTATTTTTCAAATCCTACTGGTAGTTCCAGAGATTACCTCGAGCATATACATCTGAATGCCCACGTCTTTATATATTAGTATATAGTTATAGATTATAAAATCAATGCTACAACTTACGTTTATCTGCTGGAATTTTCTCGATTTCCGAGCAATCTGTAGGTACATATTAATATATGCTATGCTCGATGGCTGTAGTTGAGCGAAGAACCTTCGTGTTTCAGTTGGATTAACCAGTATAATACTCGAATATTATGTTACTTATTAGTCAAATGGTGTTGTAAGAGGTTCGAATTGAGGAAATAATGACAATAACTATGAAGAAAAATCAACAGGCGACAATTAAAACCTATTTCCTTGCAAGCCTATCTGTATAAATTAGTAATATTTCAGTTAATATAATAAAATATGTAAAACTCGGGAATATTATAATTCATTATGCTTTGTGCATGGTTTTAACTATCGTTTTATGTTCTATGACTGCAGATATGAGCTCAGATAGTTTACAAATTTTTTTTATTAATAGCCACTAGTATAACACTATGATGGCTCAGTTTACCAATTAAATTACAATATTTGAAATTGAATATTATGTAGTACAGATAACCAAAATTAATATTAAGCCATGGAATAAATTACATGTTGATAATTAAATCGATTTTGTCATCGGTTTTGCTTGAAAATTACAGTTTTCACTTAATTTTTAGATTCTGAGCGGAGCGATGAATGTATTTTTTTTTTGTGCCAGTATAGGTACACAAATAGTAATCAAAATAATGTTTCCATTTTCAACTTCAGTATCTTATAGATGGGAAAGTGAATCTTGTTGACGCATTGGGGAGGTAAAAAATTTTAATTACCAGACATTTTTAAAAGTATTAGGAAAAACAAAAAAAAATTATTAAGAAAAACGGGGATAATTGGTTTAGATTTTTGGTGTAACTCTAAAACAAATGACAGTAGATACGTGCAATTTTCACTGAATATTTATTTTACCATTTTCTACACTTTGAGATGTTATTATTTTAAGTTATAAATAAATATTGACCTCTGTAATGTGTGTGTATTATAGCGTTGGGAGACCAAGTTAAACATTTTATAAAGGTCCAGACAACCGTGGTGCATAACTATCACTACGTCATAAAGTCGTTTTCTGAGGATTTTTCAGTACATTTTTTAATAAATATAAATTATTTTTTCAAATCATAATAATTGTAAGACGTCTAGACACGTAGTATTTGCCTCGTGGCACGGGCTTTTAGCACCTAAATTAGTATTTTGATTTAATAATATATTAATCGTTACGCTGTATATTTATTCTCACATAATAATACAAGGTTATACTTACAACAATATATATCCATTTATCAACAATAGACATGCAGTATCTAAATAGTTAATAGTTACTGTATTTATACGGCTAATCCAATTTATGTAATTTTTGTCCATCGAGTCGCTTTACGCGGCTATTGATGTAAATATAATCTTTCGAGACGAAAATTATTACACATACACTATCTATATTTTATAGTTTATACTGTATATAATATTACCTGTGAAATTATATTTTGTTATGAATATGATACATCATACTATCAAAATATGTCATATGTGTATACAAAACATTTGACATTATCGTCACCGTCAGTATTCACGCCACCAACTCTGTCGGCTTTAATAATTAATAATTGTATCGGTAAATGAAAAACTGAAAGTGGTAGATTTTTTTTACTTTAGTGTATAATGACACTGATATTTACCTATTTTTATTACTTATTGGTAGTATCATGCGTACCTGTGTTACACACCGTCGGTTGTAAGCACGGTTGTCGTGGAGAGGAATAAAGAGAAATAAATAAAAACATATTATTCACAATAAAAATATATGCGTCGTTTACAACGCGCGCACCTTATATATTATTATTATTATTGTTTTTTTTAACAGAAAAAAATATGTACACAAAATAATAGGTATGATGATGATAATAATAATAATAAAAAAATAATATTATAATATTTGGCGAGCACGCAAAACAATCATGTTCACCTGCCGTAAACAATCATGCTCGTCGTTAAAGTCACCAGCTTGTTATAAGGCAGACTATGTATATAAATTATATCTATATAGTATATTATCCTTTATACACGCGTTTATTGAATGTTATATTTATACAATAATAACACATTTATTATAACACGAAATTGTTCACGCGGCTCTGTTATAGTTATAATACAAGTGTATTTTAAATTTAAAAAGTATAATATTATGTAATAATATATAAAATGTAAATATATGCGTATTCGATTAATACAATAATCGAAATTGTAACAACATTAATAATATAATTACAATAAAAAATGTAATCGCACGACATTAGTCGATTAAAACGATCGTTAATATTTATTACACTTTTGCATACTTTTGTATAATATAGGTATATTAAAAAAAAACATTCACGCGTAACAATAAATAGGATTAAGTACATAATATTACAAAATATATAATAAAATAATATGGATTAACAATAACTTACAATAAAATTAGGCTCGTGATAAAAATTACATATTCGTCATGGTTTTAAGAGTATAAGACTATAATATAATAATATGTACATATTTATATATATGGTTCATAGGTAATTTATATACAATTATCTCTCTATTTGAACTTTGGAAAGTCATATCTCTATCTTTTATATACAAACATCGATGGACACCTCACAACAGAAACAAAACGAAAAATATGAGAGCACACGTGTACCCATTTCATACTCAAGAGTCGAGATGATAATTGGATCACTTGACTCGACGTCGCGCTAATATGTATTTTCCCCTTAATCTATACCATTATCATACATTACACGATTATATAGATACCGATGTGCACGTGCAGCATACCGCTTCTACATCGTCCCAATAATGGCTGTAATAGTGTATAATATATTATATTATCCGGCAGTACTATTATTACGTACCACGGCCGCCGTATCCGTGAAAACATATAATATAGCTGCAGCCACTACTTCATTTTTACAATTTTTAATTTAATTCCGCGTTGCACAAACAGACCATATACGGGCTACAGTAAAATGTATAATTATATTAGGTATATATACATATTAATCGCGAAAATACGATACTAAGATAATTACATTATGATTATTTCTACCATACACTACGCAAGTCTACAACTATAATACATATACCGCTAAACTACTATACTACCTACTAGTTACAGGCCCCATACGTATAAACACGATAATATCGTCGTCGTCGGTTTACTGTATAATTACAAGAAGTTTCGATTAGCGCGGGCTAACCTAATGCGAGACACCACTGCTTACTATAATAATAATTTCGGGAATAATACAATTCTTAAGCACAACGGTCGAATTTTACCAAGTGCTTACAGAAAACTGCGCTAAACCATACATACCTTATATTATATTATACTCAAATGGACCGGTCCTGTGGATTTAGATCAGATACGTTATAGATGGCGCTGGTGACTGTTTCAATCTATAACTCAATTATATTCAATAATATTAAATAATTGTATAGAATATAATTGAGTGCGGTCACTCAGTAGCTCCCTATATCTAAGCTCACGAGTCACGACGCGTAATTTTAGACAACTATAGGCAGAGCTGGTTTACGAGTCAATAGGCTTCTGGCTTATATATGATTTTTTTTTTGGGGGGGGGGGAGGGCTGCACCGACCACAAGTACGCCGTTAGGTCTGTCGAAGTCGTGCATAGGTAAGTATATCTTTACGATAAATCGATAACACACTAAGGACATGAGTACTGGTAATAATAAAGTCGGCCAAGATTACGCCGTTCTGTTTTCACACCGTGTGCTATATAGTTTGGAAAGTGATTTTAAAAATGTCATCGTTGTCTATATTATAATATATCCACACATATATGTACATTTATTGATAGCAAATGTTTCTTTTAATTAGTTACGCACACATTTACAGTATGCCCATAATATTAATATTATGATACGATACGCACGACCTGTGCACGTACATAACGATTAACACTGTATCGGCTCACCCGAAATTTTCTTTCTCTGCGTGCATTATTTTTTGAGAATTTCCATCACGAGATTGTAATGGCAAAGCCATAATAATATGATACACAGATTTTCTATGTGCGTACAGATAATAATATACTCTCGCTGAAGTCGACGACGTCTCAACAGCAGCTCACCCAGCGGATTCGTGTGGGCGGTGTCTTGGGCAGATGGGATTCGTTTATGGTTTTTAATTTGATTTCGTTTTCGATTCGTTTTGCGCCGCCGCGCGTCGCGCTCGCTTTTGAGCAACGTCACGTTCGGTTCGTTAAAATACCAATTACCCATCTCGTCGTCATTATATTACATTATGTTTCGGGAAAATGTTATTATTATTATTATTATTATTATCATTGTACCTGTGCGTAGGCATGTAGGTATATCGATCGGACGTCGTCGTTCTCGTGTATTATATTTTATTAGACCGATCTATCCGATGACTACTGCAGTGGCGGCGGGTACAATCCATCGGGGCCAGCACAAATTGCGCCTCGCGTCGTCGGGTGGGGCGCGCGTTAAGACCTAACCTATGCTGTGGCGGGAGGCGCAGCGAACGGGGGCGATTTCTCCGCCGTCACCGCCTTCCGATTCATCGTAGGCAGTGTAGTAGTAATTCGGAACGAAAGAAATAAAAAAAACCGACCTAATCGTTATTAAATTTAATTATTTTACGGAAGCGATTCGTATAACACACTGCGATAATAATATCATCGACGTATCGTACCATGTGCCTGCCTATATCATTATTGCATTGGCCATGCTCACCGCCGGCGGCTGTTTCAGGACGGTGAAAATTATATTGTGCGTAATAAAAATATGAAAATACATAGGCGGAGGTAGTTACAGTATCTATATAGTCACTAAAAATTATAGACGTGTACTAACACTGAATATTTGTAACATAAAACATTTAAGTATTTTAAGACAGTATTAATACGATGTCCGCGGTACAAACCATATACGCCTAATACAAAAGTAATCGCCTAACCTAACCGCACCTTAACGTCGTCGACACTTAACCCTAGTTTCCATTATACCATACCTGGTATAGGGTTGAATATATAAGGTGTATTGGTAACGTGTTACCGACACGATAACGCGTTACCTACGTTGTATTCAACCGCAGAACCCTTCACGATATGGTAAAGTGGAAACTTGGCGCCTGCAACGACGACGACAGTCATGTTCGAGGTGATTACGACGAGGTGGACGACGACAGCGACGACGAGGAAGAACAGCGGCCACCGTTTGCATTGGCGACATCGTCGCCGGCGTTGCTACTGCCACGCAAGCGGATCTCATCCCGGTGACGGCGAGCTTTCATGCGGAGCGCCGCGATGCTTGACGACCGGCGGTTCAGTTCGGCGGCAGCTGCTGCAGTGGCGGCTGCGGCCACTGGGTCCGCCGGACACGCGTCACCGTCCGAACCGGCTGGGCTGCTCCTATCGCTGCAGCTCCGACTGCCACCGCCCCCTCGAATCACTGCGGCCGGCGGTGAGGTGGTCGACGAATCGGACCGAGGTGGCACTGGTACGGCGAGCGGACCCGTCGTCAGCGGCGGCGGAGGAGGTGGTGGGTGCAGTATGGCCGGCGGCGTCGTCTGCGAAAGCGGTGGTGATCGAGCACCGCCGACGACGGTGGAGGGTCGCATAGCGGCCGCAGCCATGGCCATGTTGGCCAGAAGGCTGTTGAAGTGTTGCTGCTGCTGCTGTTGTTGCTGTTGATGGTGATGTTGGTATCCCTGACCACCGATTCCCCCGCGGAGGTGTTGGTGATAAGCGGCGGCGTAGGGATGGTGATGGTGGAGATGGTGCGGAGACGGCACAGCCGGTGGTGCGGTCACTGGTGCCGGATGGTATAGTGTCGGCTGGAGCGGAATCGTGGGTGGCGGCGAGTTGCTGTTTGGAGCAGGCGGAGTGGTCGAGGCGCTATCGTTTCCGGGTGGTGATCTTTGCTGCTGCAACTGAGACGGATAACCACGGAAGTTAGCTGCCGCCGCTGCGACTGCAGCTGCAGCTGCGGCTGCGGCGGCCCCGTTGCTGCGTTGGTGCTGTTGCTGTTGCTGGAGTTGCAGTTCCATGGCGGCCGCGGCGACGGTTGACAAGGCTTGCGACGTCGGCGGTAGTGGCGGTGATCTGCCCGTGCCACCGTTGCCCGGATGATGGTGCTGGTGGTGGTGGCCGCGCAATGCAGCGGCCATAGCAGCCGCGGCTTGTAACTGCTGCTGGTGATGGTGGTGATGGTGGTGGTGTCCGGGGTGCAGTAGATGGTGGCTGCCCAGACCAATGTTGCCCATACCCAACGGGCCACTACCACCTAACCCCATGCCACCCGTCATCATGAATGGTGGGTTGGCCGGAAGTGGGCTCAACGCGGCCCCAGACGGACTGTGGCGACCGGCCGACATGGAACTCGGCACGCCTAAGTACGGATTTCCACCGCCACCACTGTAAGGGTGAGCCTGCGGACCGACTTTTTCCTGCTTGCGCCATTTTGCTCGTCGGTTTTGGAACCATACCTGAAACACGACATGGAAAATATTTTAGAAAACCATTTACATTTGTATTTAATAACCACCTCTAGGCTTTAAAAAACAACATTTTGTCAAAATAATATTTTTAAACAAGCCGTTATGTATTTAGTTAGAGATATATACGATAGGTACACTATGACAAAAAAACAATGTAAATAATAATTTTGGTTGGTATTAGTGAAGGCACCCAAAAATCGTTTTGATACTTATATTTTATAAATGAATTTTCTTCCCTAGGTATATTTAGTCTAATAACTCTGAAACTACTCATTAAAAAATAACAATATGATTTAGGTGCATCAACATTTTCAAAAAAGTCGCACTAAATTAAGAACTTACAATAAGAAATAACGATTATCATTCGAAAAAGAGGTTTGTTCGTCAAATGATACTCCTCAAGTGGTAGGTATAACGAATATAAGTATATACGAGTATATTATATACCTAGGCATTTGAAAATATTGTCACTATACCTACTTAAAATTCCAAAACTGTATCAATTAACGCATTATTAAAGAATAAAGGAGGACGCAGGTGTTTGTTAAATCCTACATAATATATAGGTATTATTATATATTATATATAGACTAGCTATAAATAAAATCTAATAAATAACATAACTCGACCAGCAAAGAAAATGAACGTTTATCCCGTTATATAATAAACGATTCGCTTAGTACGTACGTAATATACTGATTTGGATATGCAGCAGCAGGGGAGTTTTTAAGGGAGGGGCATAAACTACGAGGGTTTTGAATCCCCAATATTTGTTGTATGTATTTGTATGTGTTATGAGAATTAAACATTAAATACTAATTATTGATCTACAGATTATTCTATTTTACTATAATATATCAGAACTTTTTATTTCATGATAAACTTTTTAGTTCTTTTAGCGTAGTATAACATGTACATGACACGACGATTGCCACAATTATTAATTTATGTTTTCTCAGTGTCCCCCTCCACCTTAAATTAAATATTTCTAAATTCACACCCGTACACCATCTGTATAATACATATTAATTTATGTATATGTACGATGCATCATGTACATGACCTATATACTATGCATTGTGCTTATATAAGAAGCGCATGCACACAACTTAAACGCACGGGATCCTCCATTCTTCTCACTATACAACCCACCCACTAAATGTGGCAGGTAAAATTTTATGTTGTGACCTTTATTATAAAAATGCGAATATTCTAATATTATTTAGAGTGCTATTATAATCTTAAATGTACCTATAAGATAATGTCATCTATACACATGTAGCAAGTTACATGGGTTTATATTGTTATTCTATATGAAGTATGCGTATGGGAGCATTAAAACTGTATGCATAATATTAAATTATTGTTATATTGTAATATAAATCTAACATAGTTAGAACCTTAGAACTAACTTTTAAATTAAAATATCAATAAAAATGAGGTGCCCTTTTTTTCCTGTAGTCATCACAGCATGGAGGCTGTACTGTTTGCACATTGCTTAGTCTATTGCACGTATATTATGGTGCACTTAATGGTCAGCATAGTTGTCTAGCACATATGAGGTGCCCTAGGCGATAATATTCATACCGTTAAGTGTTATATAGGTAATATGTCGATTATGTACCATTGTAAACCAAAGCTATAACAACAACACAAAACTGCAGTATCTGTTGAGCGCGAATTTGTCGCGTTTAAGCGAGTGTGTGGGTCAGATGGAGAAAACAATATAATAGTGAGCTGACATCCTCCATAGATATTCGCGTCATACTCTGTACAGATAATAATATAATAATAACGCGCATTATGCATTGTCGTCACCGCGTTGTTAATTAAACCGGCGCGTGGAAATCTCACGCTTATTAACAACGCGCATACCTATATCTTATACATAAAACTTAATAATAATATTAAATATATAATATATCATAGGCGTCTTGTATAGGTATACAACAAAATGATACAGAAAACCGTCGCATCATCGCGTGTTATACATAGGTATAGGTATATAAATATAATATAAAGGTGGTGATGGTACACAGCAGCAATACGGCGGCAATACTCACCGCGTCTAATCTAATCTAATCTAATATAGGTACACGTAAGGTTAGTTGATGTACCCATATATATATATATGTGTGTGTGTGTGTGTGTGTGTGTGTGTGTGTGTGTGTGTGTGTGAGTGTGTGTGATAAATTCATATTATACATTTTGTATTGTCCTGGTTTAAAAAAAAATGTGCGCGTACGCACCACTCAAGCACACAGGAGCGCGATCGACTACATACAACACACGTATAAATATTACATATATATATATATATATATATTATACTATATGATATCATCGTTACGCCGGGTTATCCGCGGCGATATTTAATAACAATAATAATATAATAAATAACATTAATACAAAATATCGGCTGGCCGGCGCGGTGTGAGAATGTTGAAAAAAAAATTTAAAAAATGGACAAAAACGCCCAGTCATCGGTAACCAATTTAAACGGGGCCTCTCCGGCGCAGTGCAGTAGGTATAATATAATAACAACAACATTATAATAACGTAATATATATATATATATTATATATTGTAAATCGTATTAACGTGTCGCGACGACGACGACCGACCGACCGACCGACCGACCGATCGACCGACGACGGCGACGTTCACGATGTACGTATAGGTATACACATAACTATAACATGATACATATTACATGAAATGCGCGTGCGTGTGTTAAAAACCGTGGAAAGATTTATAATGATAATATAATATATATATGCACGCACACACACACACACACACACACACACACACTCACGATATGTGTCGAGTACTATATTACATTATAACAATATAACACGGTATATTAAAAAATATAAAAAAAACTTAATGCGGTGTGTTAAAAAAAAAAAAAACGATAATAATAATAATACGAGGTCTACGATATATATAATGTGACGTACGTATAGGCGGTACGCATTATTATTATTATTTATTATAATATATATTTTAATATCGTGTTGTGTCGTCGGTGGACAATGGACGGCGGCGGCCATATTATATTATATTATTACTATTATTATAATAAGACTCGTGTAGTCGTGTGTGTGTGTGTGTGTGTGTGTGTGAGATGAATTCGCGAACGAGTACCGTTTAACGTGCGTTGTACATACACGTACGCGATAATAAAATGCCAACACAATATATTAATATAATATACGGTTGTTTAGGCGCGACGACGCGGCTTATTGTGCTGCCGTCCGCGCTAGTGCCTATACACACGATAGTAATAATAATGGTTATGTATCGGCCGAATAATAGACCATAATATTATGACGATAATGCGTATGTAACATGTGTGAAAATTTTCGCACACACACATCACGCGCGCGTCATATCGATATTCCGTCCGTATAATTAAATAGATGACCGCGATGTTTTTTGATATACGATTTTTTATGACGAATTGAGAGAGAGAGAGAGAGAGAGAAGGGGGGAGATAGAGAGAGTGAAGGAAAGAGAGAAGGGGGGAAATAGACAGAGTGAAGGAGAGAGAAGAGGGGTATCTCCGCCCTGCCGAAGGAGGCTCGACCGCGGATATACTGTTATAGAGCAGATATTTGCAATATAAATGAATAAAATCATTCAATATAAATAATTAATATGACAAACAAATTTTATAAGCGAGTTCGCAACAATATTTCCATAACACAAATAATATTATGCAGGCATATTTAATGTAAACAGGGACGAAGTAGTTCGAGTAGACTATACGAGTATCTATTCTCCTATTATATAATCTCCGTCTCAAATCACAATTCCTCATTGTAGGAGTTTTATATAATTTTTGTTTGCAATTTTCAATTTAAATATAATAAAGCCGATAACGAGATTATTAAAAGATTTAAAATACTTAAATATTTAAAATTGTATTTTCTTAATACTGAGGCGATTATTATTAATTTTTTTTTAAATCTTAAGTATACCTAAAGCCTAAAAGCTTCAACATTCATGTTATTAGCTTACAGATGTAATACATCGATAAAAAAATGTTAAGAAAAACCAGATTAGAATATTTACAGTTGTTTATGATTTATTGCATATATATGTACGGAGTAGAAAAATGTATAGACTGCTCAGGTGTTTTCTTCGTTGAGAGCTAGTCGGAGATAAGTTGAGTTGGTGAAAATTTTCTGAGCTTTGACGTATTTTCGGCATCTGCCATCTAGTAACAATGTGGTCGATCGAGAAGTTTTCCTTGCATACGCGTCGCATACTGGGACAAGTTCTTTAGAATGTGGATTATTCCAAGAAGTGGAATTAAGTTTGCCGGAATTCTATACGATTTGTGGCATACGATAAAAGATAATAATATTGTGAATTGTTATCTTTTCCGCATACAAAATATTGTGGTATACTGATGGTATACCTACTGCGGGTATTGTACCGGTGATATAAGTCGCATATATAACATGTATCGCGGTCGGGAGCAGAGTATTTATTTCATGATTTGGATCTACAACCGTGTTTACAAAATGAGGAAACCCGAGTAGGTAAATTAAATTAATAAATTTAAAAAAATTGGTTTCAATTCTGTAAGAAAATTGAGTTTATCAGCCCGCTCTTGCCCTCTTCTCTAGGTTCTCGTGGGAATCAATTTTTGATATTTCGATTGAAACTGTTTTATTTTGATTTTAAAATGTATAAAAATGTTTAGTGTTCAGATACTTTGAGTTTTATTTTGAGAAAATACCATTCACTCTAGAACAACAGTACCTACGCGACTATACTCGAGAGTCGTGACAATTTCCAATCGAATACTTTATTTGTAACAGGTACAATGTACATAGGTACAGATCATAATATAATATAGGTACCTAGATAATAAATGGAAATAAATATAATTTATATTTCTAATCACAAAATACTTATAGAATGTAATCGGGACAATCGAGACTTCAGAATATCGAATTTACGCAATTTGAAAT